CATGTTACCCAGGCTGGAGTGCAATGGCGCGATCTCGGCTCACCGCAACCTCCGCCTCCTGGGCTCAGGCAATTCTCCTGCCTCAGCCTCCTGAGTAGCTGGGATTACAGGCACACACCACCATGCCCAGCTAATTTTTTGTATTTTTAGTAGAGATGGGGTTTCACCATATTGACCAGAATGGTCTCGATCTCTTGACCTGGTGATCCACCCGCCTCGGCCTCCCAAAGTGCTGGGATTACAGGCTTGAGCCACCGCGCCCGGCCCAGACTCCTTTTCATTAAATCTTTAAACCACTGCTCAGCCAGGAGCGGTGGCTCACACCTGTAATCTCGGTACTTTGGGAGGCTGAGGCGGGCAGATAACGAGGTCAGGAGTTCAAGACCAGCCTGACCAACATGGTGAAACGCCGTCTCTACTAAAAATAAAAAATTAGCTGGGCATAGTGGCAGGCACCTATAATCCCAGCCACTAGGGAGGAGAATCACTTGAACCCAGGAAGCAGAGGTTGCAGTGAGCCAAGACCACACCACTGTACTCCAGCCTGGACAAGAGTGAGACTCTGTCTCAAAAAAATAAAAATAAAAACATTCCTCATGACCTCCACTAAGCCTGTCCAGGCACATGTCTGCTCTGCTCACTTCCCAACCTGGTAAGCAGACATGCAGAAAGGAAAGGAGGGAATTTAAGAACCAAAACCAAGACAAGAAATCCATTCCATTCACCAGTTCAACACTGAAATCAAACACAGGGAGTGGAATGATTAGCCAGAAAAAAAGCAAAAGGATTTACACTATGATATTTTCCAGTTCCTTAATTTTTGGCTATCTTCCCGACTCTGGCCTCTCATGGCTTCCACACATGCCATGAAATCAGAGGCCTCCTTTCTCTTGTCCATCACTGCATTGCCAGTGCCTAGCACCATGCCTGACACAGAAGCTCAAAAATGTCTGATAAACTGAGGAATGTGATTACGCTGCACTCATGCCCATCCACCAAAGCCATGCGCCTCAGGACAACTCAGACTGTCTGGTCACCCAGCACCTAGAAAAGCACTTGGCACCAAGAAGGTGCTGAAACACGCTCTAACTCCGGCAGAAAGCTGACCCTTACTACTTCAGAGACCCAGGGAACCTACCAGTTTGTTCCAGATGTCTCCTTGTCTCTTGGCTTTCGACGGAAAGACAATGCGCACCAGAAGACAGGTCCAGGTCAAGGCCAGCAAGGCGGCAGAGCCACTGCTCTTACTGCAGAGGAGAGCAGGGTAAGTTCAGAGCAGCAGCCTCCACCCTGAACACTAACACTGTCCCTAAGGCCCCGCCTGGTAATGCAGGACTCTCCCCTGACCTGAAGGAACAGAACTTGAAATCGGTTCCCCACAAACCATCTGTGACAATTCAGGACAAGGAGTCCAGGCTTTAGTGGCCAAACTCCCATCTCTCGGCACTGACAACTATAAAAACAAACAGATGGCTTCCAGCATTAGGGGCCTGGTGGGCAATTGGTTCCCCTCAAAATGGCCTTGCCTGCCCTGTTTCCCAACCCTGCTCCTCGGGAAAGTGGTTTTCACCAATAAGCTTGCCATCCTGGCTCCTCCCTCAGGCGCGCAGTCAGCTGCATCAGCTTCTCCTGAGCAGGACTCCACCAATTCCCAGGGGGCCACAACCTTTACCTCTTACCTGGGAACACCTGCTTTGGAGCCAATACCAGAAGACTGCAGAGAGTGTAGAAGGTTCTTAGCAGTGGCTTCTGGCTGGGCCTCAGCCAACTGCTGGATGGCTGCCTGTAAGGCCCTGCGGGAGGCTGCATCTCTAGGGGGAGAGGCAAAGGGGAAAGGTGAACATGGGGACCTCAGAGGCAGGGGCAAGGCTGCTCAGGCCATGCACTGGTCTTTCTCAGGAAAAACTGATCACACCACACTCCAGTGGATCACAGAGGAGGAATTAGGAAATAACTGGATAAACTCACCTCCTCCTAGAGTTCTAAAAGTATCTCATAAGGGCAAATAAACCACTGAGTGTGTAAGGGCAGCCCCTACATTTACGGAGCACTTATAAGGTTCTCAAAGTAGGCCAGGCCATTTTAACACACAAGACTAATGGCAGCACACACATACTGACCACTATGGCACAGCAGGCAACTGTTCCAGGCACCTCACACTAACCACCACCAGATGATATAGAATGGAATCATCTCCATTCTGCAAACCAGGAAACTGAGGCACAGAAAGATAAGTAACTTAGCCAGGATCTAACAGCTAGGATATGATATAGCCCAGATTTGGGACCAGGCAGTATGGCTTCAACCTGGGTTCTAACCACTACCCTAAATCACCTCTCTATACAAAACTGTTCCAGATACAGGGCCTTTGGCTGGGACTCACCTGTATCGATGCAGAGTCAAGCAGAACAATTTGCAGAGCCCCTTCACTGCTCCCTCTGGCAGATCTGAAACCAAAGATTACACAGAGAGTAGTCAATAAAAATGACCTGATAAGCAGCTGCAGTCAGGTGTTCTGCCAGACATGATCTCAGCCCACTGGACACTCCCCATTTATTTAAGACTTTCCTCCCCAAGAGGAAAAAGCAACAACAAAACAGGACTCTAGGAAAACGCCTGGTACAAAAAAGCTTTGGGTAGACATTTGCTAAAGGAATGAAACTAAGAAATTACAAGTGGCCTCAAAACCTCACATGCCATCAAGTAGAGGTTCAGGAGTGCTGGAACGATTCTACTTCTTGATCTGGGTGCTGGTTATACTGGTGCTTAATTTTAATATGTGATGATTCAGTAAGCTGTACAATTAGGATGTGTATCTTTATTTCTTTACGCATATTCTAATAAATAGTTTAAAAAACAGTATAACACTGAAGTACTATGAGCAACAAGAAGAGGGAACAGCACCTATAACTGGATGTTTCTGAGAGTCTGAAAGATACAGAAGCTTGGCCGAACAGATTAGCAGGCTCTGGAAAAATGGAAAGGGAGGGAGACATACGTGGAATGCAGGGTTAAGAAGACATAATACCTACCCAGGACACATGAGGAAGAAAAGGGGAGGACTAATAACACCCCAGCTCTTAGTGCTTATGAGATGCCAGGCCCTGCTCTAAGTAATCCATACACATTAACTCACTTAATCCATATAAAGTGGCACTGTTATTAAGCCCATTTTTAAATAAAGCAAGCAAGCAACGGGAAACCAAGCCAGCCAGCCAGAGTGAAATAGATACACCCTAACTCTGGGGAGAAAGAGTTCAACTCTTGGTTGAACAATAGTGCTCAATATGGCTGGGCACAGTGGCTCATGCCTGTAATCCCGGCACTTTGAGAGGCCGAGGTGGGAGGATAACTTGAGGCCAGGAGTTCAAGACCAGCCTGGCCAACATGGCAAAACCCCGTCCCTACTAAAAATACAAAAATTACTTAGGCATGGTGGCATGCACAGGTAATCCCAGCTACTCAGGAGGCTAAGGCAGGAGAGTCGCTTGAACCCGGAGGCGGAGGCTACAGTGAGCCGAGATCGCGCCACTGCCCTCCAGCCTGGGAGATACAGCGAGGCTCCATCTCAAAAAATAAAAGAAAAAGAGTGCTCAATAATGTTGGAACGCCAACCTGTGACAAGTGCTGCATGCCACACTGAAGCAGGCAAACAAAAGAGAGAAGCTTCTGAGGAGGAGGAAATTTAACCTGCAGGATAAGACAGACTTATACTGGGTGTAGGAGGCACCAAGAGCAGGAGGCCCATGCATGGCTCATACCATTCCTCATACTTCAGGCACCTGAATGATGGAAGAGAAATGAATGAGGTACAGGGACACCATTCCCCCAGAGCCCTGAACACTGCATTGGTCCATGTGATCCAGGGCTATTTCAGTAACTGGGGAAAAGGATGACTGTGTCCAGAAACAGGTTGTGGCCAAGACAATGACAATAACAACAGCTAATATACACTGTGAGCTTACCATAGCCAGACAATGTGTGACATTTACTCCAACCTATCAGGGAAGTATTACTGCTATCTCCATGTTCAAAGCAAAAGAAACGGGCTCAGAGAGGTGAAGTAACTTGAAGCAGGTCAAACAGCCTATAAGTGGCACAGCCCGTCCAAGCCCTTCAACACTGACTGCTGCACTAGAGGCCTGTGACTGGAAAAATCGGTATCACATGGCTGCCTTTCTTTTTTTTTTTTTTTAAGACGGAGTCTTGCTCTGTTGCCCAGGCTGGCGTGCAGTGGCGCGATCTTGGCTCACTGCAATCTCTGCCTCCCAGGTTAAAGGGAGTCTTCTGCCTCAGCCTGCTGAGTAGCTAGGACTACAGGCGCACACCACCACGCCCAGCTAATTTTTGTATTTTTAGTAGAGATGGAGTTTCACCACGCTGGCTAGGATGGTCTCAATGTCTTGACCTCGTGATACGGGATTACAGCCATGAGCCACCGTGCCTGGCCACATGGCTGTCTTTCTAACTAGAGCTCTCTGCTGGGAAAGTGACCAGAAAAACCTTTGAGGATGCCATAAAACTCATACACTAAAGCATTACACACAAAAGCATTACACACAAGAGAATCTCTTAGAAGCTCACAAACAGCAAGTTTACAAGCTTGGGTATCTTACCGGGCACAAGTAGGTCAGAAGCAGCAAATGAGAAGCTGGATGGCGTGGTAGGAATAAAAAGTAAAAGAGGACAGAAAGGGAGGCCCAATCTATATGGCTGTGGTTTTCTTTTTATTTATTTATTCTTTTTTTTTTTTGAGACTCATTCTTCTTGTCCAGGCTAGAGTGCAATGGCGTGATCTTGGCTCACTGCAACCTCCACCTACGGGGTTCAAATGATTCTCCTGCCTCAGCCTCCCAAAGTAGCTGGGATTACAGGCGCCCACCAACACACCCAACTAATTTTTTTGTATTTTTAGCAGAGACAGGGTTTCACCATGTTGGCCAGGCTGGTCTTGAACTCCTGACCTCAGGTGATCCATCCCCCTCAGTCTCCCAAAGTGCTAGGATTACAGGCGTGAACCACTATGCCTGGCCATGGCCATGGTTTTCAAACTTTAATAAACACAGGAATCACCTAAAGGTGTTGTTAAAACACAAATGGGGGGTTCTATCCCCAGGATTTTTTTTTCTGACACAGGGTCTCGCTCTGTCACCCACCACCGTAGCCTCAACCTCCTAGGCTCAAGCGATCCTCCCACCTCTCAACCTCCCAAGTAGCTGGGACTACAGCACCTCCCGGTCTGATTTGAGTTGCTCCAGTGGAGCTGGGAAGTTTTATCTCTAACAGGTTCGGAGGTGCTGTTGATGCTGCCTGTCCAGGAACCACACTTTGAAAGTCAATGCTATACAGTAAAAACAAACATACCAAAGGAAATGAAAAAATAACTAGGATTTATTGAGTGAAAGCAAAATGGTCTCACTTAATAAGTCCTAGAGCTATCCCTTGGTTATGGTGCAGATCAGAATAATCAGATATGCTCAGCATTTCCCAAAATGTGTTTCGCAGGCCCTGAACAGAATTTCAACAAAAAAGAGGTTCAAAGAAAACACTGGATTCAAGGAAGCTTTATAAAGTGAAAACACCTTGTTGTGAATATTCCAAGAGGGCATTAAAAAACATGACCTCCCACTGGCTCACACAGATAATCCCAACACTTTGGGAGGCCAAGGCGGGCGGACCAAGAGGTCAGGAGATCAAGACCATCTGGCCAACATGATAAAACCCTGTCTCTACTAAAAATATAAAAATTGCTGGGTGTGGTGACGGACGCCTATAATCCCAGCTACTCAGGAGGCTGAGAGGCAGGAGAACTGCTTGAACCCGGAAGGCAGAGATTACAATGAGCAGAGATCAATCACGTCACTGCACTCCAACCTGGGTGACAGAGACTCCAAAAAAGAACCTCTCCCAACTTATTTGATCTTGGAATACGTTATTGAACAACGACTGGGAAAAATGATACCCCAAGTCATAAAGAAAATGTTTTTGTACTCAGTATACTACTTGAGAAAGGTTTTTGCTATCTTTTTAAAATATTTCCAATCAAAATGGTTACAAGAATAAACAGCCTTCACACCTGAATGGATAAACTCTCCATTAACCCAAAGGTTTTAACTGTTTCAATTCACTTGATAGCAAGGAAATAAAGGCCATGGTTCTAAAGAAACACAATTTCAGCTGGGCCCAGTGGTTCGTGCCAGTAATCCCAGCATTTTAAGAGGCCAAAGCAGGTGGATCACTTGAGGTCAGGAATTCAAGACCAGGCCGGCCAACACGGTGAAACCCCACCTCTACTAAAAATACGAAAATTAGCTGGGTATGGTGGCGCACACCTGTAGTCCCAGCTATTCTCGAGGCTGAGGCATGAGAATCGCCTGAACCAGGGAGGCAGAGGTTGTAGTGAGACGAGATTGTGCCACTGCACTCCAGCCTGGGGGACAGTGTGAGAATCTGTCTCAAAAAGAAGAAAAAAAACATAATTTATTTTTGAAATGGAATATTATCCAGGGTATATGGATGAAAAATAAATACCTTTTCCAGCCACACACTTTCCCAGTTCACTGAGGATTTCTCTCCGTTCCTTTACACTGGCTGTTGTCACCTTCCCTGCAAAACGCTTTAGTGTCTCAGAAACCTGTGAAGGCCAAGCAACAGAGAAAATTTCACCAGTCAGACTGCAAAACAATGAGTGTGGGTGTGTTGAGGGGTGGGTGTAGAATTCAGGGATCTCTCTAACCTGGGGGGTTTCTCAACCTCCCCACTCTTGACATTTTGGGCCAGGTAATTCTTGGTTGTGGGGGCTGTGTTTTTAGAGCATTCCAGGTGTCAGTAGCAGCCCATCTCCCCCTCCTGCCCCAGCTGTGACATTGTCAAATGTCTCCTGGGAGGCAAAATCACTCTCACTTGAGATATACTGCTTTAATTCAACTAGTCAACAAGTCAATATACGTTACTTAAACTTGGGCAATAAGTGGAAAGGCAAAGACCTCTGAACAGAAAATATCCCTTCAGAACTACCCAAAATCTAGCAAAGGCCTACTTTGTGCCAAGCATGTTCCCTTCACATTATCTCACTTTAACCTCCCCATAAGGCAAATGTCAGCATCCTGGCAACTCACTGGCAGAGCAAAAGCACACTGGCTAAAAGGTGAAAGGTTAGGAGACTGGATCCCAGCTCTGCTTTTTATTAGCTGTGGAAACTTAGCCAAATAATATCACTCTCCCAATCTTCAGTTTTCTCATCTATCTGAGGCGGACAATAGCAGCTACCTCATATGACTGTGATGGAAATTAAGTGAGATTGTATATATAGGGCATCTACTCTCAACCCAAGCATAAAGTTGGCTGCTACTACCAACGAGCCTGCAAGGGAGGCATCAGTATCCCCATTTTATAGGTGAAGAAACCATCTCCAAGAGAGGAAGTCACTGCTCATAATGGAGTCAAGAGCCACAGTACCTGCATTTTTTAAACTAACCTCAAAGCCAAACAGGTCTACAAACTGATGCTAACAAATCTTTAGCTTTCAACACCCATCCAAGTTACCATGGTTGCAGTCCGCTGCATAGGGACATAAGCATAAGATCCAGTAAGTGGGACAGTTTGCAAACATCCCTAAAAATCTGCTCCTGAGCAATATTCTACAAGCTACCAAGTGGGCAGGCTGTGGATTCACAACTGGTAGAGCAGGGCATGATAAGACCCATGTAACAGCACAGTGGGGTCATCATCTTTTATTTTATTTTTTTTGAGATGAAGTCTCGCTCTGTCACCCAGGCCGGAGTGCAGCGGCACAATCTGGGGTCACTGCAACCTCCGCCTCCTGGGTTCAAGCAATTATCTGCCTTAGCCTCTCGAGTAGCTGGGATCACAGGCACTCGCCACCACGCCCAGCTAGTTTTTGTATTTTTAGTAGAGATGGTGTTTCACCATCTTGGCCAGGTTGGTCTTGAACTCCTGACCTCATGATCTACCTGCCTCGGCCTCTCAAAGTGCTGGGATTGCAGGCGTGAGCCACTGCACCTGGCCCATCTTTTTCTTTTGAGGGTATTTCACAGGCAGACTTTTTTTTTTTTTTGGGGGGGGACGGAGTTTCACTCTTGTTGCCCAGACTGAAGTGCAATAGCGGGGCCTCAGCTCACTGCAACCTCCACCTCCCAGGTTCAAGTAATTTTCCTGCCTCAGCCTCCTAGGTACTTGGGATTACACACATGCACCACCATGCCCAGCTAATTTTTTGTATTTTTAGTAGAGATGGGGTTTCTCTTTTTTTTTTGAGACGGAGTTTCGCTCATGTTACCCAGGCTGGAGTGCAATGGCGCGATCTCGGCTCACCGCAACCTCCGCCTCCTGGGTTCAGGCAATTCTCCTGCCTCAGCCTCCTGAGTAGCTGGGATTACAGGCACACACCACCATGCCCAGCTAATTTTTTGTATTTTTAGTAGAGATGGGGTTTCACCGTGTTGACCAGGATGGTCTAAATCTCTTGACCTCGTGATCCACCCGCCTCGGCCTCCCAAAGTGCTGGGATTACAGGCGTGAGCCACCGCGCCCGGCGAGACGGGGTTTCTCTATGTTGGTCAGACTGGTCTCAAACCCCCAACCTCGGGTGATTTTGCCCACCTCAGCATCCCAATATGCTGGCATTATAGGTGTGAGTCACCATGCCCGGCTGGCCAGCCTTATTAGTAGCGTAAGAGTCAAGAGTACACACAGAAATAAAATAATACTGAGTTTTTCTGCTTAAATCCCTACCATAGTTCTATTGGCAATGAATAAAAGAAACTGATGTCCAAAACTCTGACTTCTACATAAATGATGTATCATTTTAACTTTAAAATGTCTTTTGTTTTTATAGTCATAGATGCACACAGAGTCAAAACCAAACAGTTCTGAGAAGTCTGCCATAAAAACCAGTTCCTTGCCTTCACTCTCCATGGGCAACCCTTAGGTTGATTTGGTGGATATTTGAGTAGTTACCTCCATATAGCTAAGTATCTCTAAATATGGAGGTAACTTGCATGTTTCTTGATTTTTCAGTTTTGCTACCTTTCTACCACAGCTCCCTTTCCTGCTCTTATCCTACCCACACCCTCTCCATTTCCCCATTGGAAGTCCCCAGTTTCATAATATAGGCTAGGTCAGTAATCAGTGCTTACACCATATGTAAATGGCATTCAACATCCTTTTAATAAACTGTTTCTTATTCTTCCCAGCATTTTTATGCCCCTGGTGTTAATGATTACCCTTTCCCATCTCACTTCAGTTTGACTTGTTGTATCTGTTCTTACAAATAATTGAACCCCAAACTTTTTGCCATTTGTCTAAATCTCAGTACATTTAGGCAGATCAGGTATTTCATCCAAATTCCACCTTCCTACAGAAATCTCTCCCAGAGTTTTCTGACCTGCCCCAATTAGGCATGTGATCCTCTACAGCTAGGGCACAGTTTATTACCCTGAACATGAACTTTCTTGTGTTTGGGTGAACACATCCTCCATTCTGTAAACTCCTTGCAAGTATGAAAATATTCTGACCAAATACAGAATTCTAGGTTGAAATCATTTTCCTTTAGAATACTAAAGACAAGACCAGGTGCAGTGGCTCACATCTGTAATCCCGACACTTTGGAAAGCTGAGGCAGGCAGATTGCTTGAGGTCAGGAGCTTGAGACCAGCCTGCCCAACCTGATAAAACCCTGTCTTTACCAAAAATACAAAAATTAGCCAGGCATGGTGGCATATGCCTGTAATTTCAGCTACTCGGGAGGCTGAGGCAGAAGAATCTCTTAAACCTGGGGGGTGGAGGTTGCAGTGAGCCAAGATCATGTCACTGCGCTCCAGTCTGGTGACAGAGCAAGACTCCATCTCAAAAAAAAAAAATAAAAAATCAGTTGTTCACTTGCACTAGCCACATTCCAGTGCACTGTTAGTCACATGTTGCTAATGGCTACCATACTGGGTGGTGCAGGAAAATATTTCCATCATCACAGAAAGTTCTACTGGACAATAGTACTCTAGAGAGACATCTGTGAACTTTAAAGCTGTCTGCATTCTGAAATCACCAATAAATGACTTCTCTGAAGGATCTTAGTGTTCTCCTTCTAAGTTTTCTTCTGACAAGGTCTTAAGTGGGTAACATTCATTTTCTGATTAAGAAAAAGAAGGGTCTTAAACCTGAAAAGCTCTTTCATCTTTGTGAGAGAAGCTATGACCAGGAATTTAATGTGTCCTTCTACACATTACCCTGTGGAAAGGTAACTATGTGGGAATTCTAGATGGAGGACAAATCGTATACATGTGTCTGTTTTTGCTGTCTCTTCACTAAAACTAATAAAGCGTTTAAAAACTAATCTTAGGCTGGGCGTGGTGGCTCACACCTGTAATCCCAGCACTTTGGGAGGCTGAGGCCAGAGGATCACCTGAGGTCAGGAGTTCGAGACCAGCCTGATCAACATAGACAAACCCCACCTCTACTAAAAATACAAAAATTATAAAATACAGAAATATTCTCCTGTACCACCCAATACAGTAGCCACTGGCTATATGTGTCTAACTGTGCACTGATATGTGGCTAGGACAAGTGAATAACTGATTTTTTTTTTTTTTTAAGACAGAGTCCCACTCTTGGCACCGAGGCTGGAGCACAGTGTCGCAATCTCGGCTCACTGCAACCTCTGCCTCCTGGGTTCAAGTGATTCTCATGCCTCAAGCACCCGAGTAGCTGGAATTAACAGACATACGCCACCACGCCTGGCTAATTTTTGTATTTTTACTAGAGAGAGGGTTTTGCCATGTTGGTCAGGCTGGTTCAAATTTCTGACCTCAAGCAATCTGCTCACCTTGGCCTCCTAAAGTGCTGGGATTATGAGCCACTGAGCCCAGCCAAAAACTGAATTTTCAATTTCATTTAATTTTAACTAACTTAAGTAGCCATGTGGCTGTCATACTGGACAGTGCAGCTCTAGAGAGGATTCTTCCCTCAAGTGAGTATCAATGTTAAACATTCAGCATGTATTTCTCTAACCCCCTTATACTAAGCTTTTCTTTCTAGGATTCAATACAACATAACTTGAACAAATTATCAGCCACTTGCAAAGGAGAGTATCAATAAACATCTTTTTGAATGCTCGAGTTAAGTGGTTACTTTCTGGGCCTACATATAAAAATCAATCCTATCCCCCTGGAGACCCCAAATGAGCCCAGCTGTCCTTTAGACACCTGTTTCCTTCCCCCTGCCCCATAACAGTGTCTTTTCACCTTAAAACATAACCACAACTGATGCTTGGGTAGAGAAAAAGGTTTTCCCAAGTCCTTCCTGAACTACAAGGTACCCACACTCAAGGGTGACAAGACTCTACATGGGCACGACAGTTCTTTTCACTAACCCTGGATCTGATAAGAATCAACATACATCAAGCCCTATTTTATCTCACTGAACCTTCACACAACCTTTTAAGACAGGTATTGTTTTAACCTCATTTTATAGATGAAAAGGCAGACGTGGCGGGGTTAAGTCACCGATTTGGCATGTCACAGAAATCAACAAGCAGAAACTCAAGCCCAGATCTGTATGAATCCAAAGACTACACAAAGTCCCTGCTCATAGTAGGTGCTCAAAGATCATTTGCTGAATACAAAGTTTAAGGAAGACTTGGCGTTGGCCCAGGGCTCAGGGCTGGAGGGCTTTGGAAAAATGAAGTGAAGACTCAGGGAAGTGAACTTTTGCAACTCCGGGATCAGGCGAAGGCCCCGCCGAGCTCCAGCTGCCGAAGTCAAGCCCGGAGCTCCCGACTCCTGGAGCCCGCGGTCTGCCTGCGCCGCCCGGGCCGGGCCAAGCCCGCAACCGTGAGAGGCCGGCCTGAGACTGCCCCCGGACTCCGCCCTCCATAGCCACCACCCCCAGCGCCCCTAAGCCTAGGAACGAGGGAGGCCCCGCTCGACAAACACCGTCCACACCAAGTCGCTCGCCGCGTTGGCCCCGCAGCCACCCGCCTCACCTGCGTGTCCGCCGCCATCCTGCCGGCGCTGACTCCGGAACCGCTTCCGGAGCGCTTCCGGGTCACCGCGGTGCCCACGCGGCAGGGCTAGACCGCGAGCTCGCTGGGGCAGGGCCCCGGGCTTGGCGCCCCCGGGCGGGACGGCGGCCGCTGCAGCTGGAGCAACCGGATCGCAGGCTTGAAGTTGCCAGCCCCGCCCGGAGCCACAACACCTCCTCCCCAGGCCTCGCTCTTCAGCCCCGGGCGCCTCGGGGAAGACTAGAGCTTTTAAAGCGGTGAGTCCGCCTAGTCAGGCCCTGACCCACTTCCAGCCCGCAGGGTCAGCCCCCACGTGGGCTTTTCCTGAATGATGACGACGTTCTTCAGAAAAACAATTAAGTGTTGCTTACTAGATAGCAGAAACTAAAAGCTAGTTAAAAGAGTCGGCGAACTAGTCTTTTGTCCTCAGTTTGTAATTCAGTTAGTGGATGACTGGTACATGGTTAGCAAACGTGGGTAGATATGGAGGTCACAGAAGGTTCAGGAACGGAAGGAGGCCCCTTCCCTGGGGAAATGCTGGATGCCCCAGGCTGGGAGTTTTGAAGGCCACAAGATGGGAGGCTACGAGCAGATGTGGCTGCAATTTAAAGAATAGGGTCTCCACAGCTAAGTTAGAATTAATACATCATGTTCCGGGAGACAGATCTTTAAGTCAAATACAGGAATCACCACAAAACACCTATTCTCAGCAGACGTTGCTGTCTCTTTAAATATTGGGGCCAACCGTGGTGGCTTACGCCTGTAATCCCAGCACTTTGGGAGGCTGAGTCAACCCGATGTCAGGATTTCCAGGCTGGCCAACATGGCAAAACCCCTTCTCTGCTAAAAATACCAAAAAAATTAGCCGGGTATGGTGGTGGGTGTCTAATTCCAGCTACTTAAGAGGCTAAGGCAGGAGAATCACTTGAACCCAGTAGGTGGAGGTTGCAGTGAGCCATTGTGAGATCAAGCCACCGCACCTCAGCTTTGAAACTGTCTCAAAAATATAAACTGGTCACCAACTACTGCATTGCAGCACCACCCAGTTTCGAACCTTGCTCTATGGGACTGGCCCCAGTATCCACCAGGTGCCTATCTCAACTGACACCAAAACTTTAACTTACAGGGACATAGGCAAGTGGCTGGGTGGCCACAGAAACAATAATTCCAGTATAATACATTTACAACTGTGCCTAGAGGTCTGACCAGTAGCTTCATTCAGCTACAAAGAGGTTGCCCAAATAGAAAGCTCTATGGCTTTACCATGGCTTTAGTTTCTAGCATATGGCACTATAAAGCTAAAAATCAAGGGCCAGGCATACAAGGGCTGAAGCCTGTAATCCTAGCACTTTGGAAGGCAAAGGGGGGGGGGGGGAACATCACCAGGTCAGGAGTTCAAGACCAGCCTAGCCAACATGGTAAAATCCCGTCTCTACTAAAAATGCAAAAAATTAGCTGCGCACCTGTAGTCCCAGCTACTCAGCAGGCTGAGGCAGGAGAATCACTTGAACCCGGGTGGCATAGGTTGCAGTGAGCCGAGATCAAACCAATGCACTACAACTTTGGGGTGAGACTCTCAAAAAAAATCCCAGCACTCTGAGAGGCTGAGACAGGATTCCTTGAGGCCAGGAATTTGATACGTTTCTGCAACATCCCTACAAAAAGTTAAATATTAGCTGGGTGTGGTGGTGTGTGCCTGTACTTGGAAGGCTGAGATGGGAGGAAACCTTGAGCCCAGGAGTTAAGAGAGTACATTAAGTTATTATACCACGGCACTCCAGCCTGGGCATCAGCCAGACCCTATAAAAAAAAAAAATTATAAACTGAACACTCCAGAGACTTTTTAAAGAAGACTTTTATTTCCTTGTTTTGCAAATAAAGCTGGCTAAGTTGGTTGCTTTCTGGTGATTAGTCAAAGAGACCAAATCCCATATCCTCGTCCGATTCCTCCGACTCTTCCTTGGCTTCAACCTTAGCTGGGGCTGCGGCAGCAGCAGGAGCAGCCGTGGTGGCAGCAGCCACAGGGGCAGCAGCCGCAAAGGCAGATGGATCAGCCAAGAAGGCCTTGACCTGAAGGAGAAGTGGTCAAAATGGTCATCCACACTCCTCTACCACCCACCACCCTCCTGCCTTGGTAGAGTTTAAGGACCAACAATATCCTTTTCAGTGTGAAGCCTTTCCTGTCAGAAGCGGCCCAAGCAGGACAACTTGGGTATGTCCTAGTGAGGGGGTTCCTAAGGCCCAGCTCTTGCCCGTTAACCCCGTCTTTGGGTCTCTCTTCATTTCTGAAGTGAGAAACTCCTTCCCTGCCCCCCAACCTCTCAAATATCCTCTCAGAAAATATTTCTGCTATATAAAATACAACTATAAAAGCGGTTAAGTCAGAAGGCCACCATTTGTCACCCTGCTAATTTGTCAGTCAGGCCACCTGTGGTCCTGGTGGGCTCTTTTTACCTTTTCGGCAAGTGGGAAGGTGTAATCAGTCTCCACAGACAAGGCCAGGACTCGTTTGTACCCATTGATGACAGAATGGGGTACTGATGCAACAGTTGGGTAGCCAATCTGCAGACAGACACTGGCAACATTGCGGACGCCCTGTGAAGACAACATTTTATTTCAGGCGAGACTCCCTACAGGAGACGAAGTCCAAGTAAAGCTGAATAAAGAGAGCCCTTGGCAGACAAGAACTGCCAGGTTAGCAGCTCAGTCTCAAGAGTGGCTATTTCAGACCCATCAAATTAATTTTGCTGTTATCCAAACCCAGGTGGTGGTCTGTATGCGTTCATCAATGGCATTTACTTCCAAAGCCATTACAATCTTGTGAAAAGCATAAGCGACTAACATAGCCATTGAGTTCCAGAATGAAATTATTCTGGAATGTTGAACTATTTCCAGATGTGAATTTCATTCACTAGTCAAACTTTCAACAAGTGAATGAAGCTACCTACGAGTAGCTAGTAATGTCTAATTATATATTAATTTCAATTTTTCATTTGCACAAGAAAAGACATTTTCCATCACTATTATTCATCATTTATAAGGCATTTTTTTTTTTTTTGAGACACAGAGTTTTCACTCTGTCACCCAGGCTGGAGAGCAGAGGCACCACATGGGCTCACCGCAACCTCAGACTCTTTTTTTTTTTTTTTTTTCTGAGACGGAGTTTCACTCATGTTACCCAGGCTGGAGTGCAATGGCGCGATCTTGGCTCACCGCAACCTCCGCCTCCTGGGTTCAGGCAATTCTCCTGCCTCAGCCTCCTGAGTAGCTGGGATTACAGGCACGTGCCACCATGCCCAGCTAATTTTTTGTATTTTTAGTAGAGACGGGGTTTCACCATGTTGACCAGGATGGTCTCGATCTCTTGACCTCGTGATCCACCCGCCTCGGCCTCCCAAAGGGCTGGGATTACAGGCTTTAGCCACCGCGCCCGGCCTGGCAAAATTTGACAGTCTCAATGCAGACCCTAGAACAGCCCCTCCCTACATGCCCACCACCATTCTAAGACTTTACGTCCAGTAATTCATTAAATCCTTCAACAATCTTATGTTGTTTTGACGTTTTACAGATGAGGCAGATAGATTAGAAAACAGTCCTTGGTTTCACAGGACTCAGCTTGACACTTGTCATGCTCTTAACCATCAGTGTAAGAGGGGGCCAGGCTGGAGAGTATGTACCTCCAGGAAGCGAGAGTGCAGAGTTTCCTCTGTGATGTCAAGCACTTCAGGGTTGTAGATGCTGCCATTGTCGAACACCTGCTGGATGACCAGCCCAAAGGAGAAGGGAGAGATGTTGAGCATGTTCAGCAGTGTGGCTTCGCTGGCTCCCACTTTGTCTCCAGTCTTTATCAGCTGCACATCACTCTGAACAAGAAACGGGGGCAGTTAACACCTGGACATCCAGCAGACTGTGGCCACCAAAAGAAGCCCCCCATTTGGCTGGCTAGCACAGGCAAACCAGGTCCACTCACCAGGATTTCAATGGTGCCCCTGGAGATTTTGGTGGTGATACCTAAAGCCTGGAAAAAGGAGGTCTTCTCGGGCCCCAGACCGGTGTTCTGGGCTGGCACAGTGACTTCACATGGGGCAATGGCACCAGCACGGGCAGCAGCTGGGACCTGAACAAAGACAACAAACAGTGAGAAAAGTCTCTCCACTGAGAATCGTCCGTTTTGCTTTAAGGAGCAAAAATAAAAGCCTGTTCAGCCAGCCCAGTTGTCCCCTTACCTTATTGGCCAGCAGCATGTCCCTGATCTCAGTGAGGTCCTCCTTGGTGAACACAAAGCCCACATTCCCCCGGATATGAGGCAGCAGTCTGCAAACAGAAGTTTACGGGAGACAATCACCTTTCAGCACCATTCTCCAGGAAGAGGGAGACTCGCACTGGGGAGGGGAACAAAGCTGCCCCGGGAACTGACTGACTTCTCCAGAGCTGGGTTGTTTTCCAGGTGCCCTCGGATGGCCTTGCGCATCATGGTGTTCTTGCCCATCAGCACCACGGCCTTCCCGCGGAGGGACATGCGGATCTGCTGCATCTGCTTGGAGCCCACATTGTCTGCTCCCACGATGAAGCATTTCGGATAATCATCCAATAGTTGCTACAAAAAAGCCAGAGAAAAGCCAAGTTTAACAGGAAGAAAGAGGGGGAAAAATGCCAGGAGAAACTGAAAAATGCCACAATTTGTTTCCATCTCGCTCTCTTTCTGATATGCTTTTGAAGCCAAAGGGAGATTGGGACCATTCTTCCCACTAGGAGCTACGCTGTAACACTGCCGAACTGGGTAACAATTGCTGGATAGGAATGGTGAAAATAAAATTAAGTTTCTACATTTAATCAAGGAGTTTCTCCTTTAATTTCTTAGTTTTTAACTTTTCCCAATTATGAGGCATATTTCTGATTCACTAAAATGGTTATAAGAGAATAAAAAAGGACTGTTCCAAATAAGCAGGTCGAGAGGACGGCTAGATTCACAGCTTTCAAAACACAACACTAAGCAAAAATGCAACATATTACTTGTAAATAAAAA